AAATACACAGTTATATTTTTGAACTTTCCCGAATTGTTTTATTTGCCACAGTAACTCATCAATTGGTAGGTAACTGGTTTTGGGGTCTAGTGAATAAATTTTGTCGCCCTGAAGTGTACTTGAGCTACAAGGTTTTGAAGAAGTACCGTAGTTTATAAAATTAGACAAATGCAGCGCATAAAAAATGGGTTTCAATACAAGCCCATTTTACACAGGGTAAATATTTAAAGCAATCATTTCCCATTGGCTAAAATGTTTTGTGAATTGTGTGCTGCTATCATTTCTCAAAATGCGACTCTGGACTGCGTTGCTGGGCATCTTTGCTGGCGGGCTGAGCGTCGAGGCAGCCAGTCACGCAACCTTCGCGGTGTGGCCTCAGTATATCGATACAGTCGTGTCGCTCTCAGTAAACGCACCTAAAAATATGCCTGTTGTATTGTACAACAAGGCGATCGGAGCAATAGCAGCAGTGACATTTTCTATGTGAATCCTTCAGATGGCGCGTCCGCCATCCAGACCTCGCATGGAGGAACTCTCAAAACCTTCAATATGAAAACTGATACCAAGGCTAAGGTGTGACAATTTGTTGTTTTTTTTCACTAAAAAATTATTAATATTAGTATGCGTGCGTGTTAGATACATCTTGACCCCCTGGTTGAAGCATTTGAGGTATGAACTTGAGTTGAAGGAAGCTATTGTATGCAGTAGACAAACAGTTGGTGCCGTAGATCACGTGGAGTATCGCTACAGATACACAGAGCTCGACGTTTGATCACTTTCTGGCGACCTCGTCACGATTCGATGGAATAAATGCTGTCGGTATCCACTTGCGAGCCAAACTTCGAGAAGAAGCCAGCTGGGGTGCAATCAATGAGACACACCACGAACGGATTGAGAATAACGTCCGTGGACTCTTGCAGAACGTCGTACCGTCATTTGAAATTCTCCCATATTTGTCGAAAGGTACACATTGTGGCGGCTTTGGTTGTGGTGTGCCTTAACATCGTGTATCTATTTCTTTTTGCAGGTTTCTTGGCCAAGTCTTTTTGCAAATTCCACACATGGAAGACAAGCAACCCGCTTGATGCTGAATCGCCAAGTCTCTGCTTCTCTTCGTCCTTTCCTATCTCGTCCCAGAGTGATGGTACATCATTTTACAATGTGATTATACGTGGGAGTAGTGAAGGTTTCGCTAGCTTTGGCAAGTCGGTGACCGAGCGCGCTCTGTTTGGAGCTCAGCTACCCTTCCGAAAGAGCCAGGATGAGGCTAGACTAGCAGTGGTGACGTTCCGTCGCAGCTTAAACTCTGCGACTATCGAGGCAGAGTATATGGTAGCGTGGATTGCTACACCGTCGAGCTCCGAAGAAACATTTAAAGCTGCTCTTGCAGTCGACCAGAGTGGAAGTGACGTACTAGTAGTGACGTCCATTGGAAGTGACTTGGATGTTGACGAACTCGAGCTCGCTTGGCTCCAGCGAGATGGAAAACGCGTTGCACCGTCATCTCCACGATCTGTTCTAGAAGTACGATCTCCAAAGACAAACGTGGCAGCCTCACTACAAGCAGCTATCGCGGGAGAAGGGTTTCATCGCCGATACGTACTGGATGTAAAGGTCCTTGACTCGAAAATCTGCAGTGGAAATGCTGACAACAAATCGATCCTTGCGCGTGTGCCCATCTCAAACACTGCGTATATCGACTTGGACGAGATTCGGGTGAGCCTCAAGAAAGGGAGGCAATTTAGAATGACGCTAATACTAATACTTTCACTATGTTCCTTCTGTGTAGAGAATGGAGCGCTTCAGTGAGCTGAAACTGCTGTCCTTCACGAAGCACATTGAAATCGAGCGACCGTCTCCTGTTTCTTCACAGCATGTCGTTGGTCTCGAGTTTACAATGTTCGTGTCTTTTATTTTTAGTGTCGTGACATTTACTCATATAATTTGCTGATGCATTCAAAGGCCATCCACCAATCAAGTGCACGTTGAATTCCCGATTCACTTTCGATACCAAGCCCCGTCACAAAGCGAATTATACCGCCAAGCACTTGTGATCGCTCCGGATATTTTCTTATATTGCGGAGATGGAGATCGTTCACCTAAGAGAAAACTGGAGCCGACAGATGACGAAGATATACAAAATCACTTTCAGGTAAGCAAGAATTTATCTCGTAGAATTGCTGTAAAGTTCTAACTTATCTTTTTATTTTGGCAACAGACATGGGGCTTATTTGATCACAGTGACAGCCCCTGGCTTCGTCTAGCAGCAAAATCTCCTCTTCCAGTATTAGATGTACTCACACCAGTCGGCTACCTTCCTTCAGCTTGGCTTGTGAGTTCCACGACAATGCTTTTCGCAATTCTGGGTGCAGCAACACTCGTGTGGATGTCTGTTGGGGTGACGAAAAGAACGCAACGTGCTAGCTGGGAAGGGAAAAGTGATTAAGCTGCTGTAAGTTCGGAAGATACGACACAGTTGTCTGCTACGATGAACACGTATCAATCAAAGCTGTCCCTTTCGAGA